GCATAAAGAAGATCTGTAAAGTTGCAAAGACTAAAGTCTCAAATCCAAAGAGATATTCTTTATAAAAGTTAAGTCAACCACACCCTCCTAAAACGGCTCGTTCTAACACGCCCCCACATGTCTACATCACAATGTGGGAAGATTTGCATAACGCCGCCCAAATGTTCACGCAAAGAAAGGCGGCGTAACTTTTATTCTCACTGTAGTATTGTTGTTGTTGCCGCCGCCACCATGTTGTGGAGTCGCTGTGTGTTTCGGCCAACCGTATGTATGTGTGTGGTCAATCACAGCAGACCTCGCTTTTTCAGAACGATGAGCTTTGTAAAAATCGACGCGTTTCAGAAAGGCGGGGCATAGAGGAGAAACACTAATGTACAGTATGTGGAAAATAATGTTTTTTTTTAACCTTAAACCGCATAAACACATTGCATCACACCAAATACACAACATAATGTTCTTTTTAGCAACATCATATGACCCCTTTAAAGATTTACTAAAGAAAGTATTAGAGTTCAAATGAGGTAAGTTTTGTATCCTTCTCAGTTCTGAGATGAAAAACTTTCATCTACAGAATCTTTAATTATGAATTTTAAAAAAGCAACATCCAATAATTCTGCTTTTCTGATAGCAGGAAACCATATAATACTAAAAATTTGAAAACACAAAATGTACCAGTGTTACAAAATAAAAAGCAAGCACTGCACATTTATTGCGTCTCTGCCGTCAAAATAATAATTAATAATGTGTATAATAAATCTGTAGTTTCTACAGTAAGTTAATAAGTAATTATTTCCTGCAGCAGCTTAAACTTTACATTGTTATTTATAGTTCTATTGTAATTACATTAACATTTAATGTAGACACTAGTTTAAAATGCAACTCAATGCAAACACCCAGTATGCTAAACATAAAATATTCAAAACTTATTATTATGTACTTTTTTTCCACAGAAGTGACATTAAAGAATGACAAATACACAAAAATATTTCAGAAAAAAAACAGGAAAAGGAAAAGTACCTCTAACCCCATGTCAGAGGTGTGGAGCTTCATTTTCACTTGCTGGCTTTTTTTTACTCAAATCAATCAACACAAACTGTGCTTTGTAGAAACACACAGAAGTTTGGTAAAGGTGTTTTTGTAGCTTTGTAGAAACACACAGAAGTTTGGTAAAGGTGTTTTTGTAGCTTTGTAGAAACACACAGAAGTTGTTCTGACAACATAACTGACACCCTGAATTATAAACTACTGTATAAAACAGTTTGTCTACTACAATGGACATCATATAAGTTCAAATTAAATTAGGGATGCATCGATCAGTGACTCAGTGTTGCTTCAAGCGCATCATTCTGCGCACGGGATGCGCATAAGCGCCATGTTTGTGCCGCTCTGTATTGGAGCTTTTCATATTATAATACTTTTGCGCAATGAAAGCTTATTTATAGTGTTTCTTGTTCTGTCCTATGATAGGACAGAACAAGAAAGGCTATTAATAATCTAATGTATAGCACAGTAATGGAGGCAGAAACATATGATAGATAGGACTCCTATCTATCATATGTTGCTGCCTTCATTACTGTGCTATACATTTAAAAGAAATGTCTTTTAATTTTATAGTGTATATTTATATATAAATACATTTATTTGTTTTCATTAAAGTATTTTACAACAATACAAAGAGCAATGTGCAACATTTTACCAGATTTAGTCCTACACTCACTTTTATTTGTTCCCCACTAAATAATGTTATTTCACTAAATGTTTAGATTTTATAAAATTGTGCACTCATTATTTTTCTAGAATACCTTTTGCTGCTAAATTATCCACTAACCTAGTTTATAATAGTATTTTTGTCATAGATAATGATTATTTATTCCATGGTCTGTCTGAACACTGTATTCTGATTGGCTGGCAGGTATGCAGTAAAACCGTTTAAAGGGGTCATATGATGCGATTTCAAGTTTTCCTTTCTCTTTGGAGTGTTACAAGCTGATTGTGCATAGATAAGATCCCTGAAGTTGCAAAGACTAAAGTCTCAAAACCAAAGAGATATTCTTTATCAAAGTTAAGACTCTGCCACGCCCCCCTAAAACGGCTCGTTCTAACACGCCCCCACATATCTACCTCACTGTGTGGAAATATTAGCATAATGCCGCCCAAATGTTCACGCAAAGAAAGAAGGCGTGGTTTCAGTAACCGCAGTTAGTGTTGAAGCAGCCATGTCAGGGACCTACAATAATGTACAGTATTTGAAAAATAATGTGTTTTTTGAACATTAAAGCATGTCAACATATTCTGTTACTCCAAATACACAAAATAATGATCTTTAAAAAAGCATCATATGACCCCTTTAATGCACAGGTAGTTCCAAGTCAGTTTAATCACCGTTCTATATTAATGCGCTGCTTTAATTGATGCTCATAAACCCACACACATCACTTGCACACACACACACACACACACACACACACACACACACACAGAGGGAGCGAGAGAGAGAGAGGTTGGAGATCGCACTGCGCACACACATAAACTTGTCAACGCTTCCCCGCGGTTTTCATTAATAAAATAGCCTAGATACTAGATCGCTACATTATATTCCTCAGCAATGAGGTGTAAAATCGATGTTTTTGAAGTAATTAATTGTTTGTAGAGAGAGACGTGCAGACAGCAGCACGCAGGTAACAACTGTCATCTCTCTCTTTCTCTCTCGATCGATAATTAATTGAAATAAATGCTATAATTCATTCAAATAAATGTGATCTTATTTCATCTCTGTGTCTGATTTGAAGCGGGCAGAATGCTAGAGGTAACTTGCTGTAACTGACGAAAATAACTGTCATTTTTACCCATTCGGTCAATTATTGCACTGCAAAGAGCAATACTAGTTTTAACTTGTCTATAACTTGGCAAATGACCATGGAATAAGCGGGATAATCAACGGCTTGCCGTGCATTTTAGGATTTTAAATGCACTACGTGGAGGCAACTACCCTCCGCTTGATTATTAAAACCGTTGATTATCCCTTACATTTTTTTTCATTTGTTATTTTTCATTTAAATGAAGTATTCTATATTTAGTAGATTGTGTTTTACACACAAAAGAGTGATGATCAGGTCAACACATAGAAGTATAGAAATTCTACATCGATTTAAAAAAAACTGTGCTGGTATCGGATCGGATCGGAATCGGCCGATACTCAGAATTTTCTGGATCAGATCGAATCTGAAAAAATGGTATCGTTGCATCCCTAAATTAAATAAGTTAGAAATTGCTCTGCATTCGATCTAGCTGTGTTTGACCGTGTCCTGAAGGGCCACTTAGAGCTCATGCTGTCTGAGAGATGAGAGGAAGTGCAGCTCTCAAAAATATACAGATTCTCTGAATATGGTAAGAGAATACAGATTGTGCAAGCACTATATGGTCCCTGTTTTCGACCGTAGGTGCCATCTCCAGTTACTTCACCTGAAAACCTTTGAGAGAGGAAAATGGAGCTGCGGCTCTATTCAGTGTGACGGTAATCCATAGATTAGCCTGGAAAATTCCACACCGCTTCCACACAATGGCCCATCTCACTGTCACTCAACAGGCCCGACCAGTTATAGAAGGAAGCCGGGCGCAGTGAGGCTGGCCAGAGTGGGCATGTTTAATGTCATTCCATTCACTGTAGTCACTATAGCAACTGGCCATGGGTGTGTTACATCTGCATGTTAGAGGGAACGAAAGCTGTTTACGCATAAAGATATTAAGATTGTTTAATATGAGCCATCCATCTCAGCTGCAAAGCTTTCTGTGCATCTGCTGTAACTGTAACCATGGCTATGTATGGTGTTGGGCAAAAGATGCTGTCATGAGGGTGCAGGACTGGGACTGCCTTGGTTTCAAATGAACTCGAATATCATTTAACAAAAAAAAAAACTCTGAAAATAATAATGTGGAGAATGGGTGGCAACCCTCTACACACACCTTGGCAATATAATCGCCATTGGCTAGTACATTTTTTTGTTTTTTGCATTTTTACAATTTCAAAAGTAAAAAAAAATGTTGTTTACTTTATTTTTATAACAGTTTTACAAATGAGGGCATCCACAAATTGAGGTTTTTGTCGATTTTGTCAGGCTTTGCTCACTTTTGGGTACAAATTTGTCCCCAAAATATGGTTAAGTAGGTACACACACACACAAGTAAGATTTAGTCGCATATGCGAGTGATTTACTCGCAATGTAGAGGGTTGGGTGGCCGATATGACCAAAATCTTATATCACGGTATGAGTCATTTTATTTCACGATAAAGATATATATATCATGATGCAATTATTCTTGCTATAAATAAGGTCTTTATATCAAATTTTTGATACCATAGAAATTTCATAATTCTTGTCACCAGTGTCAGTATCACAGAAAACTAATATTAGCCTAAATTAAAAAAAAACAAAACAAGCTCACTGAAACAAGTAAACAGTCAGCGATTAAGAATAAGAAACTAATTACAAGCAATAGGACAAAAAAACTACAGTAGAACAAATAAATAAGAAATGCTACATACATTTTATAAAGTTTATATGTAAAAATAGAAATGGATATTTCTTCTTATTAAAATGACAAAATTGATTTAGTCAAGAGCGGTGAGAGATTTTCTCTCTTTTGTTGTTTGATTAACATGAATGACAGACAACTGGAATATTAGACTGCTGTCACTTTAAGAGCTGCCCGGATCCAATATATTGTTACACATTTCTTTCTCAGCTTTCACTGAAGACCTAAATAACTGTGTTTATGAGGATACTTACAAAGACGGCCATTTTGACACATACAAGTGTGCGTATTTAACTATTCAAGGCCTATAAAGCGTGTCTGCCGATATATCGCCCATCCCAAATTTCGAGTTTTTTATTAGTCATTTTATTGTTGTACTGCGCTTTTCTAATATGTGTTGGAGATTGTGGCTATTGTTAACAGAATAATTTCTTCACAGGATGGTTTGGGGTCAACCGAGGACTTACCGGTCTATGCTAGAGGTCATTTTTGTAGTGTGTTCAGGGTCGCAGTTGTAGAGAGAGGATCTTTAAGCGTGAGGTAGACATTTGTAACCTGGGTAAAAAAAAAAAAAACATTTATTTAATGCAATTTAAATTAGGCACACTCTAAATTAATACATAAATAAATGTGGGTTTTAGTGTATAAAAGTGTCTTCTAAATTATTAAATTAAAATGAAACAATGACACAAGAGGAATAAATGCAACAATTCAATAATTAATTCAAAAGCAAACTTACCTCCAGGCCTGCTTGCTCTAAGGAAGGAAGAGAGAAGCTTGCCACAGGATGTAGGATGAGGACAATCGGTGTGCAAGACAGAAGGTGCGTGTGAATATGAATGTTTTTGTGTGCAGGGTCAATCAGAGGACTCTTGAGGTCAAGGTAGAAAAGCCTGCTGTGGGTCTCTGTGGGGTGTATGTGCTTTCAATCGTGTGTGAGACTGGAGGCACCACATGTTAGCACTAGCCACCTCCTAAGAAAAAACAACAACAAAAAAACAGAAAACCTTGCATCATAATTACACATTTTAGAAGTAATAAAAGTCATATGTTTAATATATACTCCTTAAGTAATTTTAACTTAACTTAATGCCTGACCTATAAAACAAAATTGAATAGTTTATTGAACCTTTCAAGAAAAAGATTGCATATGTTTTTTTGTGACCCATTTAGTATGATATAGGACAATATGGAGCTCATACTTGAGAATGAAATAACACCTCAATTTTATTAAGAAGCCAAAACTATGCAAAAATATGCAATTATTTTGGGCAGATGCTGATATATACAAGTTGAAATTTTAATTTCTGAATTAGATTTTTTGTTGTATAGCAGACTACATACATAACATGCATATAAATATCAGTTGTCTGAATATGTCGTGTAAGATGACACTTAAATGCTCAAAGCTCTGTAATTTTAATTGTTGGGGCAAAACATATAATGCAATGCAATGCAATGATTGAAAGATATAGAATTAAACTTTCCTCAAAAGCCTGTTTATCATATTTGATTCTCAAATTGTAAGATTAAGAAAAACAACAACACTGTATGGAATCAAAGTTACTTTACTAACAATATAAAAGTTATTCTTACATTAAATATTTAACAGCAGAACAACATTTGTAGAAAATATACTTTAAGGCCTTTTTTCTGCTAAAAAGTATAGACTGTCAATCAGATGACAGAAGGCATGCAGTAGATGTTGATAATATAGAGAAATTTCTCATATCAAATATTATACAATCTTTATAGGGCTAAGAAGAAATTTTGTAATAATAAAAAAACTAAATTAACATATACATCTTTCCTTTGTAAATAAATGAGTAAGTATAGATGGCAAAAAAAAAAACTGAATTGTAACGTATAAAATATTAATAACTGATTAATTAAATAACTAACTAATTCTGTAAGTAATAAACTTACTCATGTCTTAATAGCAGCAATGCTCCTTAACCACTGTAAATCTGCGCTAAAATCTGAAACACAAACGGAAACAGAAATTAGTCACATAAACAGCTGGCTCCGGAGAAAATGCTTCAATTACACTAGAGAAATAGTAATACATTAACTTAACCGGTACTAAGAAGATTATAATAAAATAAAAACATCTCAATTAATAATAGTAGGTAGGCCTGTCACGATAACAACTTTTTGTTGTGCGATATATTGCCCCAGAAATAATTGCGATAAGCGATTTTATTGTCATTTTAAATACCGTTTTATGCCACCGAATATATAATCATAATGTAACAGCATAATAATGCAAGAAGGCCTACACACTTCCAAATGACAACAAACTTTTAATTTTTAAGAATATTTAGATCATGGAAATTAAGTATCAAAAAAACCTGAATAAACAGTAAATAAAAATGTTCTAACAAAAAGTGCAAAGTAACAAGTAGAAAAAAAGAAAAATGCACAAAGAACTTGTATGGAGACTTTTCCATCTACAGATTTTTCCCTGACCTTCTTTTCTCTGTAAGTTAAGGGTGCACACTATTCCTGAAAAACACAATCCCTACTTAGCAGTCAGATGTTCGTATGCACTAAGGCACAGATCCCTAAACAAGACCATATCTGCAGATGAAACTTTTTTTGTAGAAGCATTTTTTTAAATTTGAACTAACACCTCATGTCTACACCACGTTATGTGCGAGAAGCTGCAAAAGACACATGCGCAAGTGGAATGTACGTGGAAAGTGGTGACATTCATTTTTGAGTAAATATAATGGGTGATATATTGCGTCACCAAAAATTCATGTACATATATTGCGCGATAAGTCGATATATTGATTATTGCGACAGGCCTAATAGTAGGTGTTCAGGTTTCAAGAAAAAAAACATCACTTTGACCCAGTAAGCCTGAGAAGGGTCATGACCTTAAAGTTAAAGTTAAAGGCCCCAAATTCATCATGGTAAACATTCTGCGAAATAAAAAAAAACTGTGCCATACCCAGAATAATGGCTTCATTGAAGCTTAACATTTTCCCCTAGAACTAACAGTTCTGTCCATCCCAAAATAAACTATTCAGCCTACTACTAGATATTTTACAAGGCCACAGATGTTGTGATGTACTGCCAAGCCTGATAGACGACTTGGCAAGACCTTCTCCAAAGATAAACATTCAGTACTGTAAAACCAGGGCCGAAGTTCAGCTGTCATAAGAACAGAACTTATGAGAATATACAGAATTCACTGCACCTTCATTACTAGTTAACTGCAGTTTGATGTTCACGATACTGATCACAGTCTTACATAATTGACATTAACATACCGGGTGTCACCTAGAAATAAAAAGTGTGCCAAAATTGACTAATATGCTCATGTCGTAGTATATATCTGTCCCATTTCCTTCTGTGGAACATAAAAGAAGATATTTTGTTGTGTTTTAACTGTTTTCGTCTATACAATGAAAGTCAGTGGGATCCAAAACAATAGTCTGGCCCTCTTTAATGTGTTCCACAGAAGAAAGAAATGTGCATACATTTATAGTGTTGGTTTCTATTAAATTTGTGTGTTTGCAAAAAATATAAAATTTATTTTACATATATTTCTACTGGGAGTACTTAAATAAATAAATAAATAAATATTATAAAATAAATACAATGAATGATTGAATGATTTTATTATTTATAATTTAATTTGTTCATTTTATTACATAATTAAAATTTAAGAGCACCTCCCATTATGTGGGAGTGCATACATCTTTGTAAAATAAGATTAGGCACTGTCTCTCTCTACAGGAAAACACCCAGCAGGAAAGAATCAGTAAGTGTGAGCTGGCTGAGGCATGATGAAGCTGTAGTACCCTGACAAGTTGCAAGACATGTCCAAGGAAGTGCATGTGTCAAAGGCACACACCCCTGAGGCCAATCTATATATAGCAGTGGTGGTGTGGTATTGCCTTCACTCATATTAGGTTTCCATGTTCCAACAATGATCAATGAGCAACTTATAGAGATGACAGCATCCTGTTCTTTTCATCAAGACAGTCAGAAAGCTAAAAAAATGTGATAAAAAAATGTACACAACTTCACAGACAAAGGTAGCAGCTTTGACCGAGTTTGGTCCTTTAAAAAGCATGTGATCATGATAAAAGTTGGGTCAAAGTGTGTGTGCTTATCAAGATTACTACTATCAGAATACATCAGCTCACAGTCAGTCTAATAGTGTTTTGGTTAATGCCATCAAATATTTAACATTTATCCTGTTTTCATGCATGGTTTGATTGTCTTGTCCAAACCAGAGTTTGAGTCCACCTGATTGCTATCCCAGAATTCACATAAATCTCACATATAAAATGTAATATAAAGCACAGTGTATAAAAAAAGTTAAATATAATAAAATATTGCTGTCTAGGATTGCTATCCCTGAATTCACATTTCTAGGTATGGTTTTTGCTAGTGTGTCACACGAACCAAATGAAACAAGCTCTGATGTCAAATAGACAGTGGGTCTTCTTTAGTGTGAAATTACCCCTAAAACTCCCAGCACATGACACTGTTAAAACTCCCATAATGCTATTTGTTTTTTTTCCATACTGCAGAGAAAAGCCTTCAGTCAGTCACCAAACACCTGCACTCATTAACACTCATAAAATACAGCCTAATGATAGAACACATTACTGTCTTTGTCATTCTGCCAGAGACAGTTGGTCGTTCTTGTTTACAAGCTTGTACTTTATGGCCATTTCAATGGCCTATAAAAATAAAGATAACAGCAAGGAGATTAGCCTAATGCTAGGAGCTAGCATGACCTATCAGCTACCACACGATTTGAGCAACACTTCTGGCGCCAGTTCATTTTCGTATGACGCAGCACGGACACGCATACCTAAACACACCCACAGATTCAAATGAGTTCAAATAGAAATCACAAGCAACTTCATCTGAAGTGGTGAAAAAAATTTACATTGTAAATCATTTTCATTTTTCAAATAATAACATGTATTGCTATGTATTTAAATAGTGTTTAATATGCTATATTCGTGGTGAAGCTTAAAGGGACAGTTCACCCAAAAATACAAATTTTGTCATCATTTACTGACCCTCTAGTTGTTCCAAACCTGCTTGAGTTGGTTGAACATTAAAGAAAATACGTGGGCTGCAGTTTGCACTTTCTAATCCCCATTGACTTCCATAGTATGGAAAAAATGCTATGAACATCAATGGGGACTATCCCTTTAGAAACGTTTTCGTACATTTTTTTTCTTAAAATACAATACAATGCATTTTTTAAACAAATGTATTAAAATATCTACTGTAGATATAAAGTCGTAGCAATATGAGAATAAAGTCGAAATTACGAGAATTAAGTAGAAATATTTTCAGAATAAAGTTGAAATTATGAGAATAAAGTCATAGCAATCTGAGAATAAAGTCTAAATATTTTGAGAATTAAGTCAAAATTATGAGAATAATGTCATCATATTTTGAGAATAAAGTCTCAATTACGAGAATAAAGTCTAAATTACAATAATAACGTAAACATTTTGAGAATAAAGTTGATATTACGATAATAAAGTCGTAGCGATATTTTGAAAATATTTTTGAATATTTTCAAAATATTTTGAGAATAAAGTCCAAATATTGACTTTATTCTCATAATTTTGACTTTAATCTCATAATCTTAGATTTTTTTTAATTTTTTAACGTGACACTAAAACGGCGTCATAGTTTGTATATAAACCTCATCACATTTATAAAGCTGGAATAACAACAAAGAAACCTCTGGAAGGAAGTTTATTTAGGTGATTAGCTCAGTTAAATTAGCTGCTAACGTAGCCACATTCCTTTAGCTGAAAAGCAACACAACCTCAAAACAGCAAACAAGACGATGGTTGTAATGCACTATGGTCCATGGTGCCCGGATGTGTGGTGACCAGAGGAAAACAAGTGTGCTAACGATGGTTAAAGCTGGTAATGATGGAAATCTCTCTTTCATGTTTTTACTATGAGTGTCTTGTCACATGCAGGTCTGGACCTCCGGTCACGCCACGCTGCACACCAACTATGTCCCCCGAATGATCACTACATGTGACTACTGACCCAGACAACACACGCAAAGAAAATAAACGACATTCCGACACAGCTCAGACTCAATTCAGCCACTCCTGCAACACAAACAGCCACAAACAAGCAACCAGACCAGACGCGATAAACTTAAGACAAAAGCACACCCCTTGTTTCTATTTGACTTTGGATTGGAACTAAATACACCACCATTCAAAAGTTTGGGGTCAGTTTTTTAATTTTTTTTTTAAAGAAATTCATACTTTTATTCTGCGAAGAGTAATTAAATTGATTAAATTAATTAAAGTTCTTTCTAATTAAAGAATCCTGGAAAAAATATTACAGTTTACACAAAAATATTAAGCAGCACAATTGTTTTCAGAAATGTTTCTTGAGCAGAAAATCAGCATATTAGAGTGAATTCTGAAGGATCATGTGACACTGGAGTAATAATGCTGAAAATTCAGCTGTCATCACATGAATAAATTACACTTTAAAATATATTAAAATAGAAATCAGTTATTTTAAATTGTATTTATTTTTACAGTTAAAACAGTAACATTTGTGACCCTGGACCACAAAACCAGTCTTAAGTCGCTGGGGTATATTTGTAGCAATAGCCAAAAATACATTGTACGGGTCAAAATTATTGATTTTTCTTTTATGCCAAAAATCATTAGGATATTAAGTAAAGATCATGTTCCATTAAGATATTTTGTAAATTTCCTACCGTAAATATATTAAAACTTAATTTTTGATTAGTAATATGCATAGCTAAGAACTTCATTTGGACAACTTTAAAGGCAATTTTCTCAATGTTTTGATTTTTTTGCACCCTCAGATTCCAGATTTTCAAATAGTCGTATCTCGGTCAAATATTGTCCTATCCTAACCATACATCAATGGAATGCTTATTTAGTCAGCTTTCAGATGACGTATAAATCTCAATTTCGAAAAATTGACC